GGAATCCTACTTCGTGGAATTTCATTTATCACGGTAGGGTCTAGAACCGATTAACCGCGATAAACGAGGGTTCACTGGATCTGCTTTTTCATAGAGAGCCAGAGACCCGACTCCATACACCCGAGCCGGTTTCAGCTCCCTCTCAGCTCGGGCATATTTTGCTGCGGCTACCATTTTCATAGACTTGGTAATTTTTTGGATGTCTTTGATGGACTTTAGTCGCCTGGTAGTATCTTTCAAAGTTGCCATATTTCGAACTTGGGTCCATTGCGGCTGCAGAGCCCAGGCCAAGGCCCCAACGACGCTCTCGCCCGAGAGAACATGGTGAGGATGGTGCCGGCCCTGCTGAAGGTCGCTCAGACAGGCAAAACAATCACTTTCCAAAAGTTTCTTTTCATCCCTAAACTTCAGACTCTGACAACATGTCCACCAGAGGATATCTTCCAAATACATATATATTTGTTTTTTCATTGCTATTCTTATTGTTATCAATCAATAACAATAATGCCATTATACTTCTCATATTTATCTGAATAGGAACTACTTTCTAGTCTATGGTGAGAATCTGAGTCTTAAGCTCATTCAATGTAAGCCAACCAACCCACTGTCAATGAGTCCATTACAACTTGGGAACCAAACTTCATGGAAGCAGACGGCATGATCCCCCATAGTGACTGGTGGGTTTGAATGCCTGACCTTGAAGTTTGCAGCCCATCATTTAACCTACAGTGCCACCAGGGCTCACCATAGAGAAACCCTGGCAAGACACCCCATTCTCTGACTGTTGACATTAGCAACATTCTTCCAACAGCATTTCAGAATCATAGTTATAGTCCAGTATTATTTTTAAAGAGTAAAGTCCATGCTGAGTCCACTATGAGTCAATTCTAAGTCGCCAGAATACTCCTTAGAGGCAAGGATGACAAGACTTTGTCCCGTGTACTTTGGACATGTTGTCAGGAGAGACAAGTCCTTGGAGAAGGACATCATGCTTGGGAAAGTGGAGGGGCAACAAAAGAGAGGGAGGTGTGGGACAAGACCACCCTGTCTGTGCACAAACGTGAGAAGCACTGCGAGGACAGGGCAGTTTGGCTTGGCTGGACACGGGCTGGCTGTGAGGCAGAACCGAGCCTGCAGCAGCTAACAACAGCAACATTCTTTACCCA